CCTCCGCTGTATAGGATTTCTGACCTCCAGAAACCGAGATAGCAAATGTGTGCTGTTTTAAGCTGCTAATTTGTTATGCAATGGTAGAAAATGGATACCAGTGGTTCTAAACCCACATGCTTAAAAATGAGGCAGAGAGAAGGAATATGCTTGAAAAAACCCGAACGGAATGTTAGTATTTATGACTAAGAAATACTGAAAGGATGTGAAAAGTGAACCTAGTGGAGCCTGTTCGTTCATTCATGGAAGAATATCTATTCAGGTCTCACCGCACGGATAGCACTCAGTAGGGTTAATTTTGCAGGGAGAGAGAAACCTTTAGGTGAATAGGTATCTGCATTTTGCTTTTTTTTTTTTTGGTTCCTAAGAAATCCTGAAAGCTTAGAGCTATTAAAGACAAAAGCAGATATACTTTAAAGCAGCGGTCGCCAACCTTTCAGACCTCACGGACCACCGGTGGTCCGCGGACCAACGCTTGGTGACCCACTGTCCTAAAGTAGAGCTGGATGAGGGATACTTTTAAAGATGCTTCATTTACTGGAGGAACAATATTATGAGAAACTGACTGAGAGTTCAGATACAAGTCTATATCTTTTCGTCTTTCCTTTTAGACAAAAATGGTAATTAAATTTTAATCAATACGAGTGATAGAAACTTTAGACTGTGGCCAGAGGAACTGAAGGTGGTATAATGTCAGTTGTGGAGGACAGCACTCCCGTCTCTTCCCCACTTTCTCACCCCCCCTCCACCCCCGCTCTGCCTCCTTACTTTTGTTCCATGTAGACAGAAGGGAGTAGATCTCTGATTTATTTCTCTCATCACTTTTTGTTGTTCATGAACTAACCTAAGGGTGCGTTTCATTGACTTTAAAGTAATTTCTGAAAAACACATGTGCTGACATTATAGGTATCTGGATCATTAACCATGCCAACGCCGAGCAAGGAAATAATGTAACAGCAGAAAAGCCATTTGTTTACGGTGAAGGCCGAAATGTTACCATTGCACATATGCCTACAAGTGGTATACAGGATATTTATTTTCATTAACAGCTACCAGGAGATCCGGAAGTTAAAGAGAAGGCTGTTGATTAGAAAGGAGTATCAGGCCTGGATGTGTATTCTCCATTCTGTACCATTTTTCCTGGAAAATGAAACAGCCAACTTGTTTCCTAACTTCAAGAGAGAACTGTTCTTTCACTTTATTAGAGATTGTGCTAATGACAGCGTGGGGAGGGGGAGAATGACAGGGAGTAAAGATGAATGGTGAGGAAAGAAGCTGATTTGGAAGACAAATCTATGGACAAAAGTTGAAGGAATTTATTGCCTAAAAAAAAAGGCGGGCTTCTTATATAATAATTCTTCTTTTATAGCAGAGGATGCTAAATGCTTCCTGTGGGCAGAGGGGTACCATCATATAATGAATTAATATAAAGTAATGGGGTGGGGCAGAAGTAGGTTTACAGTTGTTCTTATGAAAAATAATGCAATAATTAATAAAGAACAATGTAAGAATAAACTCTGTGTTTTATGTACTTACAACTGTAAACCCACTTTTAGCCCCTCTGTATATAACAAAGGAGGAAATAAATTTCACATTTAGATGATAAAATTAAAAATATAATAAATGAGTACAACTTTTTTTTTAATGCTCATCTATCAATAATGGAATTGTTTTTTTGTGAAAAATATTTTGCATAATTGGGATTACACATTAGTGTCCTCTTTTCTCTTTTCAAATTGGTTATAAATCTTCCCCTATTCTGAGTTCACAGTCTATACAAAAACAGGTGCTGGGCCCATTTAGTCCACGGCCACACCTTCCTGGCCTCTTTTATGATGTCTTCGTGAACACTGGGATCAGTATTCTCAGCATCTGCAAGGACTGCATTAGAGAGAATGAACACGGATGCCAGTGAGGGGATCGGTGTTGTAGATGGGACACCATGAACGAGCAGGCAAGGGCTGTGGGGGAGAAAATGTGGGGAATTAACTAATGCTTATGATCTTTAAATTCAGATAAGAAAGAAATCCCATAAAAAAAGTATGCTCTCCATGCTATATCCAGACAATCTTTATTTTCTTCCTAGAAGATGACTTTACAAATGTCAGCTTTTATGTTTTTCTCCTCCATTATATAGTTTTAAAGCTTGGTTCGTGTAATACACAAAATAAATTTTATCTGTAACTAATGTCTGGACCTAAAAATGAACAAGCCATTTTCAGTTAAGGTCTATCCATTTCTGGGAAGAAAACACTGCTTATGAATTTCCAATAAAGCAATGCAGTTACAAATACACTATCTGAATTTTTTCTTATTTCTCTTATTGTAGAGTAGAACTCCATTATAAGGTACCATAACTTACTGTGAGCTGGCTTTTATTGCAGACAATTTTCTCCCTCTCGTACAGGGGTAGTTAATATTGACGAACGCATGTCACATAAACACCAGTGCTCCTGGTTATCTCTCTAAAAGAAAAGCTCTAACCCTGATTAGAATAAGCCCGGCTCAATTGTGTTGGCGCTCTGGAAGTACCTCAATATCACAGTTGTTCTGTTTATTGTCAGGAAGGAAAACGCAGCAGACTAATACTTGCATCAACGTAGAAATAATTTGAAAAAGAAGCTTAATTTTAGCAGAGCATTCAGCATAAGCTTGTATTTCTTCTCTGAGTCTTAGTGTTGTCTAGTTTGTATAGAATGCAATGTCTTTTCTCATTCTAAAATGTATAAAATTTGGAATGTACATTGTAAAGCAAATAGCACTTTTTCTGCTTACTGTCTACCAGTGCTTTAGATTCAGCCCAGCTGTCTCTCCCTGTCCAGGAGACTCCTCTCAGCAGCCCCACAGCCCGGTCAGGGCCCTGCCTTCCTGGTGCTCCCACAATGCCATGTACGGATTCTTGTCATTACATGTCTGCACTGTTTTATAAGTCTGTTTAGAAATCCATCTACCCACTTAGACTGTGGGCAACTTCAAAGTAGGGAATGCATCTCACTCCCCATTGCTTTGTCCTTGGTACCTAGCACAGTGTAAACATAGAGTTCCTTGTAAGATTTTAAAGAGGCAAATGAATGGATTCATTGAGGGCAATTGCACAGGTGCGAAGAAGGTTCCGTATCACTGAGGGAGGGACTATCGCTATTTTTCAGGATAGTAACTGTTTTCCAAGAATGTCAGTGTAACGAAGCCATGATTCTGGATACAGGGTAAGGATGAGCACCAGAAAAGACTAGAAAGAGGAAAGAGAGATGTCAAGAAGGAGAAACGGCCTTTATCAGAGAGGAGGAATAAAATATGACCCATGGTTGCTGGACCCAGTTAGGGCCAACAGTGTGTGCTCTTTGCAATGTTGGTGCAGGGTTGACAAATCACTATAAACCTTCCTTCCTCTCTCTTTCCTTCCCTCCCTCCCTTCTTTCTTTCCTTCCCCTCTCCCTTCTTCCCTCCTTTTCTATTTATTGGTTTGTTTGTTCGTTCACTAACTCACTCACTCACTCACTCACTCACTCACTCACTCACTCACTCACTCATTCATCCTTACCATTTTGTAATGCCATCTTGAAACTCCCTGCTTCTACTGAAAATAACCTAAGAAAAGCTCTGTTTGGCAATGCTTTGAGGAGACAGAACTCCTATTTCTAATCCTTCTCCCCTCCTCTCTATTTTGAGGGCCACTGGAAATGAGGTAAAGAAAAAGGGAGGGCAACATCACCTTTTCATTGCTGAAACCATGGGGATACTTTGTTTTTTTTTGTTTAAATGTGGATGATGAGGATGTGGGAGAGGGAAAGCTTTGCTTCTGGGGGAGCATTTTCCTTGGCCTTGAACACCAGGCCTGCAATACCCGAACTGCCAGTACAACCACAGATCCCTTCCCATGACCAGAAAGCTCCTCTTACCACTTTGTGTGTGTGTGTGTTTTGGGAGGCAGGCAGGGGAGAGGGAAACATTGATTTAGCTTCTGTGAGGAGTCAAACAAGTCTTTGATGTTTTTTCTACACTCCTGCCCCAAACTTCAGCCCCATCTCTGGGGCTGGGGAAGAGCTGCAGATGAGTGACAAGCGGAGGAGCTGCTCACTGCCTATCCGGATCGCAATTAGCAATAAGCCTAGAAGCGTGGACTGGAGGTGGCCCGCTCGGGGCCCCAAGAAACATCTGGGGGAGACTCTGGGATGGTAAAGACATGGACACGGCTGGTTTTTCATTCACCAAGTATCTAATCCTCATGGCAATTATTCAAGAACTATGTGTATGCACTCAAGATAACATGGTTTTCATTTTTTTAAGGCACCCATACTGATTAGAAAATGAGAAGAGTTATTAATTTTTAAATAGCAGTCCATTTTTAAAACAAAGTAATATTTTTTTCCAAGAGGTAATGAATGTGGTGATATGACGGAAGCGCTGACCCAGCAGCGAACATGCGCCTGCTCACCGTGATTAGTAATCTACCCCACCGCGTACATCTTAACATTTGGGGAGAAGATAAGCAAGTTCCTTTGTTTCTTGCAGTGGCCTTGTCTCTTCTCTTGCTATCGTCGGATGCAGGCAAATGTAGTTAATGTTCTGATACAGAGGGTAAACTTTCTAGCTTCAGAAAGAAACCGGATTGTTTTCCAGAGATTATAAACATGTTCCTGTACTTGTAAAGGAAGCACAAATAGAAGGAGGTCTTCGTGTTTGATATTTTACGAAGTTCTTACAAACCATCTGGATGGCACTGTGTTTGCAACACCAGGCTAGAGAGAAGAGGGAGAGCATCCCTCCAGATTTAAACCAACTCCAATGGCAGGATGGAATACACCTTAAAAGGTTATAGTAATTTCGCCTTGAGAATTACTTAGGCATTGTCTCTACCATTTGTATATCGTAACATTGTTTTGATTGTTGTGTAAACATATTTTTGTCATTTCTTATAAGAAAACCTAGCTTTAATAAACTAATAAGTGAGCATGATAGGACTCATGAAGGTAATTACTGCAAACATCTGACATACTTACAATTGCATTTCTTCTGAACAAACCGAAGCTTGCATGCTGTTCTGTAGGTTGAGAGTCGGATTCGATCCAGCTCTTGAGCTCCTGGAGGGGGGAGGGAAAGAAACGTACACATTTGGTATGCCATGTGCATGGAAAGGAATTTGTAACATTTATAAAGAAAACAACTATAAATATAACCCATGCACTTGATTTTGTTGTGATTAGAACATAAATATAACTTGAAGACCTTAAAAGGTCTGTCCTGTACCCCTCAGGTATGGGAAGAGAGCACATGTAATCAATGGTGAAGGTCAGGTTGCCAACCATGTTCACCAGCCAGGACACCCAGCCTCGCCCCTGTGGAGGCTGCCATGAGGGGGCACAGTCTGCTCAAGCCAAGACTTAGCAACGTCATCGTCATCATTTTTAATGCGCTGTCATTGGTCATCAGACCAGGGCTGTGAGGTGAGCACCTGCCGAATGTTGGGCATCTTTTCTGCTTGACCTGAGGCCAAATGCTTTTGGAAGTCCTCATTCACTCGTCTGGAAGACAGGAATGGGGATCCCACTTCTGTTCACTTCATTCGTTGTCAGGGTAGAGGAACGACTCTGCCCCAAACACTGAGAACGCTGCCTGGTGCACATGAGTGCTACGCAAGCTTTCACTGTTATTCCTAGCATTTCACCTGCAAGCTTCCCTGTCAACCTCGGAGGGGATGCCTTTCTGAAAGCAACCGCCACTCTTCCACACTGGCTTCCCGTCCCTTCCCGACAAAGAGGAGCAGGCTCCTTATGTTTCTGAGCTGTGTTCCCTACCCATTCCACTCAGGAATCCTGCGTGGCTTATGATGCCCACAGCACGCAGTCAGTCAGAATGCTCTGCTCAGAATCCAAGCTCCTCTGAAGCTCTTCCCATCCTGCTTTCCAACAAGAGTCCCCACTACTCTACTCCAGAACCTCCCCTTGCAGATGGCCGCTTGTTCTGTATCCTGCGTTTCCTCCAAACGGGTTCATCCTTAGACTGTGTCTGGGACACAGCAGACTTTCAACAAAGGTGAGTTCTCTGCTTCTAACTCATTGGCTTCGTCGAAGCCCATGTTGATAGTTCATACAGGTACAAAGGCCCATACCTGGTTTTGACATGTGTTGAACTTTATCTGCATCAGTAAGAGTTCTCTATAGAATATAATAGGGTAGCAAGTAAATGAGCTGGCCCAAAAGTGATTATATTAGGTGACCAATTACGCGCTCTCTTAATGAAACTTGGGATGAATTAGCAAGTGTCCCTCGCTGAGAGCGTTTAGCATTCCTGCAACTCAAACTGATCTCTTTAGATTCATTTAAAAACACTCTCAATACTCCTAGTACTCAATGGTTTAATAAGGCATGTAATTAAATATTAATTCCAACATAAGTGTATTACGTGACAAGCAGGCTCATTGATACCGGGTACTTGAAGGATCAAAGAGGCAAAGATTTATCTTCACCTAATCGAGAAATTCCCTTCCACATGTTCTCAAGAGGTAGACATTTTAGCCAATGGCCATGAAGAACTATTTGCAATGACAGGGATGATTATAACATAGTGAAAATAAATGAATTTGCTGTGTGAACTTGGACAAGTATTAAAAATTACTTCCTCATGTGTAAAATATCAATGTTATTGGCTGGTAACCTACGTAGCTGATCCCTAGTGAGAACTTTACAGCAAGTAGATGAGCCCCCTAAAAGGCTTCCTGTGCCATTTCTGAGCAACAAGTGACAGAAATATCTTTTTTTGCATTTGATTTTAACTTGCCTTTCCGTAGTTTCAATCCATTTTACCTAGTTTCCCTTCTGGAGCCAGTTAATCTTTTCTCCTGGCACTTGAGAATTTATTTCTCAAACAATGGGAAGCCACTACCATGATCACTGTTAGCATCTTCATTACCATCTGAAGATCATACACAAAAGTCCCTGTTATCTCACGAGTGTAGGGTTTAGCTGGGGAGGTAGCATCTCCTCGATTTTTTAGATCCAGTAGGTTCAACTGCATAGTCATTTGAAGCACAATGTCTATTATTGAGCATGACACACAATTGGCTTCAATACATGGAAGTGGCTATTAGTCTCATTATCATCAGGCAAAGATTTGGGGCCCTAACCATTCTCAGCATCCTTTTCCATGACTGACTGATATCTCCTTGACACAAGATCTATAAAATTAACCCAACTTGTATAGAATATGGGAAGTAACTACTATCACCTTTAATAAGGACACTTACTAATGAAATTTATTCTTGGGTTCTTTAAGAAGCTATTTTAAAAAATTATATGTACTTATATTAAGTCAGACTTTTTTCATATTTTCAATTTAAATGCTTATTTGGGGCGAGTAGGATTTCATACTGTTTTTTTATATTTTTTAGCTCATACTTCTAACCTTTATGATATATATATATATATATATATATATATATATATATATATATATAACATATTTTATTAATTGTTTTACACAGAGGAAGGGAGAGGGATAGAGGGCCAGAAACATCGATGAGAGAGAAACATTGACCAGCTACCTCCTGCACACCCCCTACTGGGGATGTGCCCGCAACAAAGGTACATGCCCTTGACCAGAATCGAACCTGGGACCCTTGAGTCTGCAGGCCGATGCTCTATCCACTGAGCCACACCGGTTTTGGCCTTTCTGATATTTTAAAAAAATTATTTTCTCACTCGCATTTCATAGGGGCTCCCAGTTTCAAGTCCTCTACATCTGAGAGGCTCATGGATGCTGGATAACCAGGCAGTGTAATGATCAGAAATACCCGAATGCTAAATCTGCCTTTTCCCCTGGATGAGGTGTCATTTTATTGATGTGGATTTTGGCTCAACCATCAGGAAAGTCTCAATATCTGTAAATAATCCTTTAGAAGAAGTCATTAGGGACATAGATTATTTGTTAAGTTTTTCAAGAATAATGATTTAAGCCCCAGGGTAGAAAAGGATGATGATGTAGCACACAGTTAAATTTCTTAGTTCCAGCAAGATCTTGGCCTATGAACAGAGAAACCCTGGCTTCACTGCACCACCCTCCCACAGAGATCCAGGGGCAACGTGGGACAGGTGCACCCCTCCAGGAGCAGGAGGAAGGAAGGGGAGCTGATATTTAGGGACAGGAGTGCACTGACTGCTCACTTGCCCCATCACAACGTGGAGTTAATGGACCTTCTGTTTTATTTGAGAATCAGGAAGAGGTCTGGAGGTCTGTCAGTGTTTCCTATTTGTGGATGTTCTTCTTGGCTGAGGACGCAAGGCCTCAATATGAATAGGGATGTGGTGAGCAAGGAACATTCACCTTTCAGATATAGCAGCACACTACCTTGCACAGACAATGTAAGTGGCAAACGCAAGATCCTTAATGAGTTCTGGGACCAAATAAACAACAACACACCTCAACACAAACCCACCCCTGATCTGACATATGGTGTGCAGGCTTTTGCTCAAAATAAATGTATTTGTCTCTGCCCTACACACTTAATTCAAGTTTACATGTACAGTCTCTTCTTGAAAATCTGTAGATTCATGGTCTACCTGGGAGTAGCTGCATGTCTTTGTGTCCAAAATATTGCTTAAAACCAAGAGCCTGCCACTGCCACAGAAGAGTCTCCTGGTACTTCTAGCGGACATCCTCCAGGGTGACTTTTTATTACTTATCCTTTAGACATGGTCGTAACACTACCTGTACATCTTCCTAATTGTACGGTGACCCAGCTCATGTTTCTCCAACACATGCACAACTGAGACTTTGTTAGTGCCTTGCTGAGATTAAGGTCCATTTTTAGTCTAGGATATTTTCCTGAGCTAACAGTCTAGTAGCCTTATTGAAAAGGGAAATTAGCTGACTTAATTCCTCTATAAAAAGAGATGGAATGTGAATAAATGAATAAGGAAGTAAAGTCAATAGAGCAATCCTTGTTCTGAGCATGTTGAAATGTCTGGGGTTACCACTATCTTTTGTTCCTGATTTGAACAGTGCCTAGCTGTTTGGTAGTTGTTCAAGGACTAGTTTGAAAATACTGGAAACCAGAATCGTGGCCAGGGACATGGCTTTTTTTTTGTGATGGGCACTATTAATGCAATCGATAGTGAGCCCACATTAAGCTGCTCCATCAGTATAAGCTCCGACTGTGAGGAAGCAAGGCTGGAAGGGATGCTGTGTGTATATGCTGGCTGTTCTGAATAAACTGGTTCCTGAGACTATGAGAGGTGGTTCTGAAGGAATTCTTGGACACTTAGAGCCGAAACAACAATGATGAAACCTTGACAGAAAATCAAATTGTATATGAAAAGAATTGGTCAAGAACAAAATTTTGGTAAAATCTGATTTCAGATGGCTGGGAAGATACTAAGAGAGACAGGAAAAGAGAAGTAGAGTCAGAAAAAGTGGAGGACCGAACCAGACATAAAAGAATAGTTGCAGGATAGTGACCCATGGTGCTAACATGGTGCTAACATTTTGAAGAGGTTGAAAAGCAAGATAAAGAAGTAAAAATAGTCATTGCATCCACTGTGGCTTATGGTATAGCAACACTCATGTCATTTTCCTGAATTTTTAAAGTCAGTTTTCCTAAAACTCTCAGTGTGCATTGCAAAAACATGCTCTGGGTTCCATTCCAACTATTGCTGACGGTGGTGAGCATTCTGAAGAAAGACAGCCTTCAGACTATTTAGCAGGGCTTGCTGAGTGCCTACAGTTACCTTCCTTTGATTTCTGGTTAAGACCTTTTTTCTCTTGATAGGAAGCCTCCCAAGGTCTGAAAGAATGTTTTCAAATCAGTTTCCTCTCAATAAAACCCACCTATCGTGTGTTCTGGAGGCTTTTAAACCAACATTGGTTCAGCATCTAGGTGAATGGATTTGAAGGTAAACGTCTGGGGTCTGTCCCTACGCAGGAGCTCATGGTGAGAGGTTATGCTCACAAGTGTGCTCTGACAGCCTTAACCGTTTGGCTCAGTGGCCAGAGCGTCACCCCATGTGCTCTGACAGCCCTAACCGTTTGGCTCAGTGGCCAGAACGTCAGCCTTTGGACTCTAAAGGTCCCAGGTTCGATTCCAGTCAGGGGCATGTACCTTGGTTGCAGGCACATATCCAGTGGGGAATGTGCAGGAGGCAGCTGATCTATGTTTCTCTCTCATTGATGTTTCTAACTCTCTATCCCTCTCCCTTCCTCTCTGTAAAAAATCAATAAAATATATATTTAAATGTGCTCTGACAGCAGGAAAACAGAGAAGGTGAGTTTAATCCAATAAACTATTTATTCTGCTAAAATCCAGGTTGATAAACTTGTTTAAGCTGATAAACTTATTCAATGACTGGAAAGGTCAGTCTTTTCAGCTTTAGTCTAAGGCACTAGCTAAACTGATCATTAGGGCATTATTCTGAAGGTGCATTTTGGTTTAAGGGCAGGTTGCCCAGAATTTCTTTAATCAAGGAGGTGGCCATGGAGTTACTATTGTTGTGGTTTTGATACGTAAGGCTTGTCTTTTTTGCTGTTTTTGTGAGTCTATGTTACTCTTAATTTCATTTCTTTGCCGTTTCTTTCTACTTTCTGCTGTGGTTATGAGCTCAGAGTAGATGTCTGATGCACGTGTGCTGCAATCACCTGAAAGTGCCAAGATTTCTTATCAGTTGTTCTTCTTATTAATTGTTATTTTTCAGTTCTTGGCCTTTGTAAAGCTGATATGCCTTAATGTTTCCCTCAGCTTGACTAAACGTTAGTCAGGCTTCTTCCTGACTCTAGGCCTCTGATCTCCCTTTTCTTAGAGCATTTTATGTAGAAAATTTTCCATTGTAAATTCTTTATCTGCCCCATTGAGACATAAATCTCCTGGTTTCTGGCCAGTTTTATAGCCCAGAAATATCCTTCCTAAAGACCTGGGAACCATCCCTTTGAAATGTAATCACTGAAGGAGCTCTCCCAATCCCTGCCGGAGGGGAGGAACCCAACTTCCTAATTGTGACAATTAGCAAACACAATTGACCAACATCTGCCCTAGCAGGTGTGGCTCAGTGGGTAGAGCATTAGCCCAAAGACTGAAGGGTCCCAGGTTTGATTCCGGTACCCCAGTTATAGTCTTGATACTGTTTCTCTGTCTCTCCCCCTCCACTCTCCCTGAAAAATCAATAGAAAAATATTATTGGGTAAAGATTAACAAACAAACAAAAAATTAAAATTAATAACCTTTAGTACTTTTATATTTGCTCATCCCAGGCCTCAATAACCCTCCTTTCATTCCAGTGGATTTGAGTTCAAGCTCTCTCCCTTGTTGCAATAGTCTTAAATAAATTCTTCCTGGCCTTCTTAACTCCTTCACATGCAATTTTTCTTTGACAATTGTAATTTCCCAAAGATCTTTTAGGCACTTTCTTTTGCTGTTTTTAAAAATTATGTCTAGATAATACTTATTTGGCTAGACTTCCAAGTTCCTCATCTTTGTTAGCTCCTTCTCTAGACATCAGAATTATTAGAAGTAGTTACTTTCCAATCTCCTTATCAGTTTTCTTTGATAATAGTTTTTTTTTTTTTTTTTTTGGTCTTTTTTTGGTGTCCTGCTTATAGAGCTGAGGTGACCCACATATTTTTCAACTATTAAACACATTCTCAGTGAGACAACCTTTCTCGTTTGTGTGATAGTCTATCTATCAAAATCAATTCCTCCAATTGTTTTATCTGGCAGAATCCTATTTATTGTGGACATGTCCTACTTGTTGGTATAAACATGATGCTCACTAATGGATTGTTAAAATCAGAGGTGTTTATCTGTTTTGGGCCAACATCTAAGTCTACTATTTAGCATATTCAAGGAAGAAAGAAGCATATTTGGATGGCTTTTAAAACCACCCATTAATCAGTAGAACTCAGAATATGATTTAATAAAGCACATGACAACCCTAAGAAGTTTCTATAAAAGATAAAGTTACAATTTGGAAAATAAATGCATAATATTCCTAAGTCTCCCTAACTTGAAAAATTTAAAACTCTCTCTTTCTTTGGCTATAAAACTTATGCTGATCTTTCTTTGAGTTGGACAACTTTAACTCGAAAAGTCATGTGTGACATATGCATTTTTCTGTACGAGGTACTGCACCAGGGATAAGGTATTTTAAAAATCATTAAATAATCACACATTTATAATTCTTACAGTGTCTTTGCCAATAAAGCATTTACTGTAACATAAAGTTAAACATTTCCCCTAAGACTTTACTGTTTTTTTTTTGTTGTTAAATATTAAATTTTTAAAAATTTTGTATCAAAACACTGGCCCATGTTGTACCTGGCTCTTGCCTTTTAGTCTAAGAACCTGTGATATGAGAGGATATCTGTGCTGCCTGATATTTTGTTTAGATGAGCAGGCAGTAGTGAGGTTCCTTGCCCTGTTAGATTTGTATCAATAAGGTCATAAGTCCAGGTGACCAGCCATGCCAGAATGAAGACATAGTACCAAACATGGCCTAGCAAATTGGGAGGCCATGGTAGAAACACTCTCAGGCACTTCAGGCATGTTTCTAAAAGTGGAAAAAGCAAGGAGCATGACTGAGATTCCCCATATCAATCTTAATTTTCTTTCCTTTGTGTTAGTTCCAACACTGTCTTGGTGTCACCCAATTATTGGGAAATGTTAAAGGGAAATATGAATCTTATTATCCGGGACTTTCTTTTATCTGCTGTGACCCTCATTCTTGCCAATCAGTTCCAATCTTCAGTAGAAACTTAATTTTTGTCTACTGCCTTTTCAGGGAAAAAGGCTTACAACTCACTTCTGTTCATCCTCATTCCTTATGCGGGGGGAAAAAAAGAGATAAAAAGACAATAAGAGGATTGTACTTTTCTCTTTAGAACATTTCATTTGAGATGTGTGCTTTCCTCCCAATGTCGGTTCTTCCTTATGAATAGGAAACATGGTCTACAAGGGAGACATTACAGACTACAACCATATATATACATAAACCAATGGCCTGTATTTAATGGGTTCTCCACAGGAGTCAGTCTTGGCTTGGTTTCCCTCTATAGCAGGTGCCCTCGGAGGCTCTTTAAAATTTTTTTAAAAAAAATTGATTTCAGAGATGAAGGGAGAGATAGAAACATCAGTGATGAGAATCATTGACCGGCTTCCTTCTGCACACCCCACACCAAGGATTGACCCCGAAACCCACGCATGTGCCCTGACTGGAATTGAACCATGACCTCCTGGTTCATATGATAGATCGATGCTCAATTACTGAGCCACACTGGCTGGGCATGCGGGCTCTTTTTAACTTTTCATCTTCTTAGAGACTGGGACAGATCCTTCCCTACCGCATGAAGTCTAAATGACAGCGTATAGTTTGGTCCAGTAATCACACAGGATTCCTCTTTCCCATAGAAACATAAGCCATCGTTCAGTAGATGAGACATTCAATGATTCATTTCACAAATGTTATCAGTGCCTATAACATGCTAGACACTGACACAGTATAAACAGATGAACCCGGATTTTAAAGTTTAGTGGATCTGTTAAATGCCAACACTAAATAGTGTTTCCAAAGGATTGTGTTTGTGTGTGTATATATACACTTAGGTCCATGAAACTTTTCCTTCATATAAAATACAGAGTGTAGTAACACGTTGTGATATTTCACTAATTTAACTTTTCCCTTATAGAAGGAAAAAATTCCCAGTTACATTTTATGCCAAGAAATTTGGGATTTTAAATAAAAGTACCCAAGACACAGAATTTCATGTATATTCAATGGACTCTGTAGGGGCTTCCTTAAAAGTTCTGTACTTACTCATCTCTGCAAACAGCTGTCTTCTTTCTGCCATGGTATTTCCTCTTTTCCCACTATCTTCAATCATTCTACGAGACAAAATGGGTACAGTGGGTATTATCCTCCTGCTAATGAGGCCAACAGCCATTTCTACAGAAACACACTTGCCGCGGTTATGCCACAAACACAGAGACAAACTAACACTGTGTATTTCAAAAGTATAGTTTTACTTTCACTAACTTAAATTGCTGGGCATATTTCTGCATATATAATGTTGCTGTTTTTGTTTGATTTTTTTTATTTTCTAATACAAAAAATATCTATAGCAGAAAATGATCTTGTGTTCTAACTAAATACAATCCTATCCAGTCTATTAGGTGATACTTTTACGCATAGAGATTCTAATTTTGGGAATTCCTATGAAGAAGATCAAACAGATATAATGCATCTCATTCAACAAATGAGAGTCTCGTGAACTTTGTGAAGTGAATGGCATAGGCGTTCGGGCTCCAAGACCAGTATTCCTTTTACCACATTCTGCTGCAGATTGTCCCTGGTGTGCCCAGAACCTCCATTTAGAAACAGGTGATTTTCTAAATGTTCACCTCTAAGTTGAGTGTTTGGAACTTGCCACTGTTTTTCTGTGCATAATTTCATGTAAGGTGGTTAGGTTCACATCTCTCTACTTAAATAACCATACTATCTATAGAGGGACTATCTTAAAAAATACTAAGAGTTAAAACAGAGAATGAAAAAAACTACAAAAAAATTAAAATTTGACTTGAGGAAAGAGAAAATAATGAGAAAGTTAATGGAAATGTTTAGTCTGGCAGAAGGCTTGGGTTAAATATTAACGATTTTATAGGTTGATGGAGGTGATTTTTTAAATTATATCTAATTAAACTTTAAAAAATTAAAGTCTCACCTCTCATGTATACATACATGTATGCATTTATACTGATCCCATTATGCTTTGATTCTTGGGCATGGGAAGCATAAGGCACAGCTGATGGTTGTGCCCGAATTTCCATGGACCCTTCTCCTTCTCAATATGGGTCTCTGTCCATCCTATTTATTATATTTATTTTTGATTTGGTTGCCCTCTTCCTGTGCTTAGGTAACTTGCAGTTACCCTTCAGGTGTCAATTTAGATGTATCTTCCTCTGAAATCCCTCCTAATTCTGTGATTGGCTGGGTTTATGCTATTCCTCTGAGCCTTCATAGTCCTCAAAGCTGAGCTTAACAAACCTTTATTGATATCTTCTATACTCCAGACACCGAACAAAGCTCTGGGTATAACACAGTATCAGGTCACAGTTCCCGTCCTCACTGTGCTTCCTCTCTGGCGGGGAACACCCAAACGCATATAAAGAACAAATGCACAACGAGGTCATTAAAGCTGTAGAAGCAGCAAGAAAGGTATGTGACTTCCAGAGAAGTTGATTACCTTGGGGCTAAAGTGAACAGAACCACTTGCAAAAGACTGCTCAAAGGGTGAGGGTGCTAGTTTCTCTGAAAAGGGCATCAAAGGAGAAGTGACTCTGGTCAGTTTTAAAGGCCGAATAGAAATTTTCCAGGTAGAGAAGGGTGAAGGAAGGACTCGGGAAAAAGCATGGCACTTTGAAAAGTGTATGGGGTGCACTTGGCGATTGGGGCTAGGTTGGCATTGCTGGGTGCAGTGCGCATGGAGATGCTGGAGTGGTCAGCAGGCATCGGAGCCAGAGAACCTTGGTCATGTCCAGATAGTCAGAGCTTTGCTCAGGGGTGCCGGGAGCCATCCAAGGTGTGGGTAGGCATTGATGTGCACAGATTTAGATTCTGTCAAGATTACTGCACTTCTGTCACAGTAAAGGAAAGTGCAGGAGAGCCTGGGCCAGCAGGACAGTGCATGATTACATGATTAAGGGACCGGTCCAGTCAGCTGAACACTTCTGTGATGTGTGTGTGACAATATTCCGTTTTAGGCTAAAAAACTGATTTGAGTGATTCAACAGCACACACACGATGATTGGCAGGTCACAGGGAAGAGCAGAGAGGGCCTGAGCCTTTGCCTCCCCACAGCATTTCACACAGAGCAGGAGACCCTCGGAGGCCCTCGTGGCGATAATGAGCTGGTAGGAGGTGAGGCTCCCTAAGTTACCTGGCCCCAGCCTCATCATTAAAACAGGGCTGCCAGCAAGACAGGGGAGTCCCCCTCTCTGCCCTCACGTTTGGGGGAGGGATGAAACGACAGAGTAGAACAGCGTGGGAATCAGCGAGATACAAAGAACGAGTCTAAATGTAGGTCACGGGCTGTTGGAATAAATGTGAGCTGTATTTTGGAACAGGGAGAATACGCTCACGTTGAAATAGCCTATCCTGGAGCCACTTCCTTCCCACTTCCTTCCCATCTCTAACCCACCTTCACTCACAGCATACATCTCTCTGATATGGCACAGACGGCATTTTAAAGGGAGGAGCTCACCCCAATGGTGTCTTACATTTCTGTGGATTTCCCCAGATGATAACATACAAATCTGCGTTTGCCTGGAGCCTCGCGAGGAGGAAGGGGAGAGACTCTTCCCAGCTTAGAGCTGAGGGACTTGAGACTCAGGCAGACAGCACGGCCATAACACACACTGTATTCTCTGGCAGGGCCGGAAGTGGAGTCCTTTCTATTTTTTGCTCTTAATTTTAAAATTCTGAAGCCAGCATGGATTCTAATCACCAGTCGTCGTGTTCCAGCTGCCACTGTTCAATACAAATAAGATCCTCCCGAAGCTGGTAACGCAGTTGGTAGACGCTGGCAACTCAGGCCAGCAGGAGAATGGAGAGGGAGGTCCAAGCTCTCTCAGATTCCCCCGAGTGATGCCTCTGTCTGCTTCTGAGTGGATCCTCCTGTTTTAAAACACTGCTACCCTGGAAATGGCCATGGTGAGTAAATAATCCCAGCACCCAGAGTGATGTCATGCCAGACACATGCCATCACACAACTCGCACACCGATTCACACTCAGAGCCCATCCATATAGGCCGGCAGTGCTTTAGAGCCTGCAGTTCAGTGAACAGCTAGGACTCGCGGACCTTGTGTGCAGCGTGAGGAGGCAGAGCCCCGGCTTTCTGTTCCCCGTGTGGCTCCCAGTGGGTGACAAGGAAATGCTGGGTCAGCGATTGCTAATGCTGCCCACTCCCCCTAGTGAATCTGCACAGTGAAGGCCACATCCAGGGCCTCGCCTTCTCTGGTTGATCTGCACAGAAATGCCCACTCCATTGCTGCTCATGAAAGAGGCCTCTGCTGTGACTCCCTCAGATTTACATCCAGTCCTGGTCTTCTTGGGCAATAGAATAAAAAGTGTTCCATGCTCTTTCCCAAAATGGCATTTGCTTCCACTTCCTCGTCCTTGATGGAGAGGAAGCAGAGGATGCTGCCTCTAAGATCAGTAGTTGTGATGTCTCTCTGCCTTTGCCTTTTGCTTGTAGAATCATCTTCTCCTCTTGGAACTGGGCCTGGTTTTGGGGAGCTGGGGGCATGCGCACACTGTTCCAGTGTAACAACCAGCTGGATGTGGGAGGGACCTGATCTTCCCTGGACAATATCTGCTGTCGGCGGTGGCTGCCAGCACACCAGCCTGGAGAAAGGATCAAAATGCAAACAGCGGGTGCACTGGATCAGGGGTTGGGGCCCAGCAGAAGGGCCTGGGGTGGGGTGGACACCAGGTGATTGGGGACATGGGGAGAAAAGAGAGGGAGCAACTGTAATACTCTCAACAATAAAGATAAAAGTACCACAGGTGTTTCTGATACCCATCCAGGTTTGAGCTGGAAATATGATACTAGTTGAATTTGACCATGAACTTAACTGTCCATTAAAATTGTAATTTTTATTTTGCTTTATAATACGTTTCTCTAGCTTGTAAGACATACTATCAAATCTACTTTGAACTGAAGAAGAAGGTAATTAATTCTTTGGGGAATGTGACATATATGCATACTTTAATATGGGTATCTAATGAGGTGAACTTTTAAGAAATAGAAAATGCCATTGAAAAGGAGAAAACCACCTTCCTTCTGAGAAGAGGTACTCTCAGTGGCACTTTCCCGTCTGCTGTTCTGGGGTTCGGTTTTGTTTGTTTCGTTTGATTTCATTGGGCTTACGGGGGATGGCTCCTGCCCAAGACCAGCTGGTAACCCACCCTCCTCCCCCTTCCAATTGGGAAGGCATGAAAGATGGCAGAGCGAGGTGGGAGCTGCTTGGCATGGGGAGAGCGGAGCTCTTGGAAGGAAGATGATCAAAACGGGGGACCCTGCCGAAGAGCCTGATCAAAGGGACCCCAAGAGCCCCAGGGCGACGGCCATAAGGAGGGGTGGTCTGTACTGCTGCCTCCAGCACTGCATTGGGACCCAAGTCTTTTTAGAGAATCATGTTTTTTATATCCAATATGAATGAGGTGCCTTTGGGAAAGTGTGTGTGTGTGTGTGTGTGTGTGTGTGTGTGTGTGTGTGTGTGTGTACTTGCATCCATATTTCTCAAGAGCAATAATATTGGGGTATAGGCCCTCTTGGTCAGGCAGAACTATGGCTGCCCTTGCCACTGGGCAAGTCTTCCCTGCCCTCCCGCTGGGATTGCCCAGTTCTTAACTTTTGGAGGAGGGTGTTTGGAAGTGACTGCTTTTCAATATTTTGGAACTTTCTTGGTTTAGTGTAAGATGTCACTGTTCACACACATAGGTTTATTCTTTTTCCTTGTTACGTATCTAACAAATGAAAAAAAGTAAGTGAAAAAAAGTCTCTAATTAGAAGACTATTTTTTTAACTAATCTTGCAATAATACAACTCCAAACTTTGTAATTGAACTTTTAAGTCCAACTTATCTCATTACATTGAGATCATACTATATATGCACAAACATTTATAAAAGTAAAATAGATCAGTAAACTTCAAAGATCGCAATTCCTGTTGGTGTGCTCAGTGGTTAGAGCATTGGCCTGCGTGCCACCAAAGGGTCTCGGGTTCCATTTCTGATCAAGGGCATGCACCTGGGTTGCTCTCTGTCTCCAGGTTGTGGGAGGAAATCAATCCATGTGTCTACCTCACATCAATGGTCTTCTCT